AAAGTCTTAAAGTCGGGCGGGGCCGACTTTATGATACCCTACACCACTTTGCTACAAAAAGGACTAAATATGCCGAAGCATTTGTATCTTTTAAATTCGGAATTGTATTGCCCATTTGGTGCACAATTAATTTGAAATCGGATAAAGATATATATGTGAGCTATATCCAAATCTGTACCGATCTCGATAAAATTTGGCAAATATATTTCTGAGCTGTATTTGATATATTTCCCTGAATATCGTTGTTAAGGAGTGCATATTACTGCTGTGGGTAACAAATATAACAAATCGGATGAATAATATATATGGAAGCTATAGCTATATCTGAACCGATTTCGATCAAATTTGGCATACATATTTTCAGGCCTAATTTGATTCTATGCAGATCATCCAAAGGAACTATGGGTCTATCTCGTTTCCTTCTGCCTGTTACAAACAAATGCACAAAGACATAATACCCTGACCACCTTGTGGTGTAGGGTATAAAAAAATTGTCAAAATCGGTGGAGCCATTCTTTAGATATGAGCATTCAAGCTAACACCCCCTTCATTTGTATATATTTCGCTATATATATCCGATATATTTATTATCGGAATCTAAAAGAAGGTCAGAGTTGAACTTTTCGTCTATTTGCGATTTCGCCGGGATTAAAACTTTTCGCGGTTTAATGGAAAATTGTACTTTTATTTAACACAAATGTTATGATCTTTTTCACCCTCTGAATATTACCCGATGACCATCAAAATTGGAAGGCTTCTGCCCAGCCCTAAGCTCTAGCCCCTTGCTAACTTCGATTGGTCTATAATTGCAGAACAAGTGCAAAATCAGGAAATTTTTCAGTTTTTGGTCCATTTCAACCCCTAAATATTATGTGATCATCTCCAATTCTATTCTGGCTCTAGCCTCACCTCCATTCTGAATTTCGTGAAGGTCGGGCCATAATTGCGACCTGTAGAGTGATTACAAATTAACATGGACGGACGGACGGAAAAACATAGCTAGGTCGACTCAGCTCGGCGAGATACGTACTTTCCTATGTGGGAATCAAATATTTCGAGGTGTTACACAATTTTTAGCCCAATCAAACTTATAATACCCTCCAACACATAGTGTTGTATTGTATAAATACCACCATCTTACGCTTGTGGCCATAAAAGAAAAGTTGGGTTGGACTCTCTTATATGATTCCTAAACGTTACACATTCAAAATTGCAATCCGTTTGATTGAAAAACTTTGCATCGACTTTAAAATACAAATAATTGATATAAACATGTATATATTATTATAGATTAAGATTAGTAGGTGTTAATTTCTATTTAAGAAACTAATAACGAGTCAAACTACATAAAATAAATACTAATAAGGAAACTTTATTGACTACAGGTGTTCATTAAAAATTTCATTCATTTATCATGCATGGTGATCCTCTTAGAGAAATGGGCTCAAAAGACTACAGCGAGAAACAGCAAAAAATATCAATAATTTTAAACCAAGAAAATCGGCAATTTTATAGACTGTCTGATGTTGAACGCGAAAAATCTCATTCATATATTTATATGGTGAATAATAAAGATACAAGGGTGGAACCTTGACGAATTCCTCCGAAAATGGGGCTTTGCATCCTTATTATTATTGCTAAGCCCAATATTGACTTCCATGAACCATGAACATGCAGAAAAGTAAATATACATATACCAGCTACATGTTAAGTTACTGTTCCATGAAAACCTGATTCTAATTTTCATCTGAAATCTAAAACTATGTGTCATGTGTAAGTATATTTGTCCATGTTGGATATAATATTATCTATATGACTGTGTGACAAAAGTCAATATTTTCAATAATTACAGAAAAAGCAAGTCGATTATAAAAGTAAAGTTAAAAGAGAAGACACATGTATCAGCGTTTTGGCAGTCTATATCGCATAGTAACCAAAATAGATGGGGCAAGTTCCCCCACTTTCACGTTTTTGGAAACGTGAATCAATCAATGAATATAGGAATACAGCGTCTTTGGCAATATAAGATATAACAATACGATGATTATTTTGATCAGAATCCCTTAAAAATGTATATGTCATAAGATTTTACAATATGTCTCTGAAGACATCAACATCTAAATCTTACATAAACATCAGGAATTCATACACACAAGCAATAAGTAAAATCTAGGGGAATTTGTATATAAGGGTTGTATACAAAATGAACTAAAAATTTCAAAATTTGGGTAAATTAAATAGAAACAAGTAAGCAAAGGCTACAGTCGAGCGGGGCCGACCGTTGAATACCCTACAACACTATAATAAACGATACAGTTTATATAGGTGAGATACTCGAAAGAATTCCACAAGATATTGTGACAAATTATAAAAGAAAGCCATCAGGTTTCGTTCTCTAATTTTCGAATAATAGCAACTTAAACTAATTTGCTCATTTCCAATTTATTGGTAGATGTTGCACGTAAACGGTCTTCCTAGATCTGGAACCAATATTTCCCAAAGACCTATAATCTCTCAGAAGTGGCAAAAGATTAATATTTATTATTGATTTTTGACTGAAATGCATCTATATGAGATACAGACATTTGACTATATTCTTCAACGAAATCAGCGTTAACGAAAAGTCAGAAGTGCGTCTTCCCTGTATTTGTGAATTCTCCAAAAAGTCACTGGAATGGACATTTTGGTATTTTGTCTACAAAAGTTGGCAAACTCCTTCACACATTGAATATTTTTGGATGGCCATCCAAAACTGCTTGGCTTTTGCAATGTCCGGTAACCCCCATTCAAATGTGCGTGAGGATCCGGCGATAATTCCGACCTGCTGACAATTTTGCACTTTTTGGTCCATTTCAACCCCTAAATATATGGCGATCATCTCCAAAAAGAGTAGGCTTCTATTCTGACCCTCATCTTATCCCCATGCAAAATTTCGTAAGGATCGGGCCATAAATGCGATCTGTATAAGATATCCTGATATCCTAACTACTTAGTTTTGTTAGCTGTAGAAATATTACCAAATGTTTAATTCAAAATGAAAATATGCCAAAAATATGACAAAATTGAAAAAATATGAGAAAATGTTAGAAAATCAATATTTTCATCTTTAAAGAGATATTTTTATGCGATTTTTTTAGACGTTTTTTCTTTCCTGCCAAGACGCCATTCTGAATTAATGAGAACTGTCGAAATCAGTTCAGCTGTTCTCGACATATAAGACAATTTTCGAGCATATCTTCTTTGATAAACATATATATCGCACATATTTTGCTATATATTCGATTTGTTGGATCTTAACATCTGTGTAAAGATCAGAAGTAACCTTGTCATGGCTTTCTGATTTCGCCGGGATTTAAAATATTCGCGGTTTAATGAAAAATTTTGAATTTTTTCAACACAAAAGATATGGTCTATTTTACCGGCTAAATATTATCCGATGACCACCCAAATTGGTAGGCTTCTTCCCCGCCCTAAACTCTAGCTACATGCGAAATTCCGCGTCGATTGGTCTATAATTGCGACCTGTATAGCTACTGCAAAATCCGATATTTTTTCAGTATTTGGTACATTTCAACCCCTAAACATTTGGCGATCATCTCCAAAAGAAATAGGCTTCTATTCTGACCCTAACCCCACCTTCGTGCAAAATTTCGTAAGGATCGGGCCATAATTGCGAGCTGTAGAGTGATTACAAATTAACATGGACAGACGGACAGACGGACGGACGGACATACATAGCTAGATCGACTCAGCTCGGCGAGCTAGGAAGATCCATATATACTTTCCTATATGGGAAACCAATATTTCGAGGTGTTACATAAATTCTGGCCCAATCAAACTTATAATACCCCCAACACATAGTGTTGTAGGGTATAAATATGACTAAAGGTTAAAATAATAATTGAAACATCCTTGGGTCAAACAAAAGAGCTGTAAAAATGTTTGCGGAAAATGTGCTGGACTTTTAACGCCTCTTAACGTACGGTTTTCCCAGTACGTTAATACACAGTCACGTGAAAAACTCATATAACCAAATTATGGAAATTAGTTTGAAAAATATGGCTCAAATAAATACTTCAAATATTGGTATGTGAGAGCTATACCAAAACGTAGACGAGGGCTATAGCAACACGGACGTAAAATTCTATCGTAAGTTTTGCGAAGTATAGAGAACAATATTTGAGGTATGGTAAAAAAGTTTGGCCTGGGAACCGAAACCCCTTTTGGGATTTTCATCTAATAACCGAATGGCACTTACGCGATTTTACGCGATTTTTTTTAATTCGATCCTTTTCTGCCAAGACAGTGTGATGCGAAGGAGCTGACATTTATTATTTTTTAACATTAATTTAAATAACAAAAACATATTTGACTTCAACAATACTCTGCGTACACCAGCAAAATTTAAAAAAAGAATGTTATAAAAAAGATTCGGAAAATATTCTTCTTGGAGATGGAAGATTAAATTTAAAATTACAACGTGCAAAGGAATATTTATTCAATCGAATTTGAATCGCAATCTAACCAAACTACCCTGCTATAGTTCTTCCATACTGTTAATATCAATATTTCAATCAACCCCCTCTCAAGCATCCTCAAAACACTGTCGCCCAGTTATCATTCATCCACCAAAGCTCATCTACCTGAAATTATGAATGAATGAGTAAATTACTAAACAAGATAAGGGTCCACCTTCAGTTGTTGTTTTTGTGCTGCGGCAATGTTTTGTGGTTGCAATTGTATCGGAGGCTTGGTGTACGCCTCTTGTGGCGGCAACAACAACATTAAAACACATCGGATTATGTGCCTCAAATATTTTGAGTCTCAGAGGAATTAAGAAAAAGAAAGAAAATATTCACTCAATGCATTAAAAAGAGATGGAATGTTTAAAAAAAAAATGGTGTCCTTATTCCAAAGATACCAAAATGATGATGGCTGAGAAAAAAGATCCTTTAAATAAACAAGCAATTTGCAAAATTGTTACAGTGCAAATTCAGCATTTCATGAATAAGGATCTACAGCTTCAAACCGTGAACATGAGTGATTTCAGTATTGAATATATTTTAAATAGAGCTGGTGATAAATATGCCGGTACCAATGGATCGTTGGGTGTGATGAGGCGTGAGAGGACATCTCATTATCATCCTTATGTCATCAGTTTTCAAGGACATGAGCAACAATTGGAATTATTGCAAAAAATACCGTGTCATCAACAACAACAGCAGCAGCTACGTCTCAGTCCCCAACAGGAACATCAACAACAACAGCCCAATTTTTTGGAACAAATTCCAGTCTTAGATTGGTTACAATACACCCGTTATCATCCTCCAAAGCTACAAAGTATGTTAGGAAGTTGTTTAAAACCCATAATTTTTATTTTACTAACAACTATTTTCTTGTTTTCTAAAGGATCCCTACGTCAAGGACCCGCTAAACGCACTCCCGGCCGCCTGCCCCGCATACCCTTCACACCCGCTCAATTACAAGCTTTGGAAAGTGCCTATAAAGCTTCGAATTATTTGAGCGCCGAAGATGCCAACAAACTTGCCGATTCATTAGATTTAACCAATACTCGTGTCAAGATTTGGTTCCAAAATCGTCGTGCCCGTGAACGTCGCGATCGCCGCGACAAAGAGGAATCATCTTATGACTCAACACTCTCATCGAATGCCTCCAGCCCCGAACCAGAAGATGTTATTGATATTGTGTAACGGGATTCAATTTCGATCTGAGGATGTTGCCAACGCTTGGGAATCTGACATGGAATGCAGAATACATTACCAAGATTCTGGTATTTAAGATTTGGTCCCACTGCATTCAAGGATATTCTTACAGGGATTATAAATCTGAATATATATGGTGATCGAATTGTCATGCTTTATCTTCGGGATGACGAAAAATGTCGGCCGAAATGTACATTTTTGAATACAGAATAATGTTATTAAATTTAGTTTTAAGAATTATAAACAATTTTGTGATTATAGAACATATATACAAATAAATAATATATATACAAATTTAAAAAAAAATAATTAATTAAATAATCCTATGGGAAACTATAGAGAGATCACCCACGTAATGATAGCCCCAAATGAAGAAGATTTGTGAATCGCATCAAAAAACTGCACAACAATTTTGGGTCTTTAGTATAGGTTATTGTACGATATACCTCATTTTATTTTATTTTATTTAGAAATAAAATGTTTTTTGAGTATAATTAGTATTTTATTTTACCACAATACACTTTTTTATTTTGTCTGTTGCTGATTTTGAATTCAAAATATTTAGATTTCAATCTAAATCTTGTATTAATTATATATTTTCATGGCGGTCGCCGAGCTATAAAATTACAACCTTCGGTTTTCTAATCTGGCGTGCACACTCTGTTCCGAAGTTACTCATTACTTGGTAATGAGGCAAATATGATATTTGGCTATGTATTTTTTAATGAATTTCCCTATTATTTATTTTAAATTTATTTATTTATTAGCTAGGTATTCACAACAAGACATGGATCTTAAAATTATAGTGCAGTATTATACAATTATATGAAAAGATCCTTTTTATAACCTTCACCATTCTATGGAGGGTGTAATAACTTTATCAATCCGTTTGTATCTCCTCGAAATACTCATAACAGACCCCACAAAGTACATTCTTGATCCACAAAATATATTACGGATCAGCGTAAAATTCTAACGATGTCCCGTTGTTGGTTTATTCGTCCGTTGTAATCACACTATCTTTCGAACGAATTGATATAGAAGGCTAAAATTTTGCTAGTCGACAGGTTAAGTTCGAAAATGAACCATGTCAGTACATGTTTTCGTATGGTCCTCATATAACAGTATCTCCTGATATTCGCTATTCTAGTGATTTTAGCGACATTATTCACCAGGATTGTTCAAAATTTCGTATTTGGAGTTCGTAATGGACACAACAACAGAAAATTTGTAATGCCCTCTTGACATAAAAGTATAAAATCTAAAAAATTGGAGAAAAATATGCCAATAAAGATGTTAAATAGATTTTGTATTTTTCATATTTTTTATAGGGTAAGTGTGCCTAAGTTCGGCATGTCACAGTAGTCGGCACTTTTTATTTTTAAGCCCAAATAAATGAAACTATTATAACTAAATGTATTTTGTTTACTTCAAATAAATTGCCAGCTATCTTTGTTATAAAATAAAAATAATAAAAATAATAAAAAGTTATAAAAACTTTATTTATTATTGCAAAAACTATACAAAATTTCGAATCTGAATAAATTAACTTTGTAATAATTGAAATGTTCCACTCAGAATGGTGAGCCATTAAAAACGCGAAAATCCTAAAAGTGCCGACTACTGGTACACTTACCCTAGCATGCGATTTTTTCAATTTGACTTATAATATTTTGTAATATTTTTTCAGCTTACAACACAGGTTGGGTTTATTATATACAGATCGCAAATATCGTCCGATCCTCACAAAAATTTTCACAAGGTTAGGGTTGGGCTCAGAAGGGCTAGGCCTATTGTTTTCAAAGATGTCCGCAATATATTAGGGGGTTGAAATGGACCAACAACTAAAATGTTCCTGATTTGCAGCCATTATAAAGGTCACAAATAGAAACCAAAGGCATAAAGTTAGAGTTTAGAACAGCGGGTACAATAGAGCACTAATATTGTGTGAAAAAATACCAGCATTACTTACAGGCGATATCCGAAATACACAAAAGGCGAACTTCTGGCTTTTTTATGCTGATTTCGTTGACGAATATAGCCAAATATCATAGACAAGCAAATCATGTAGATGAGTCTAAATTTGAAGACACAGAGGGGCTTCTTGCTTTTGGAGATGATTGCAAAATATTTAGGGGTTCAAATTAACCAAAAACAGAAATGTTTTTCCGATTACACAATTGAAGCCAATCGACACGCCTGTAAAGAGAGTTAAGGACAGGGAAGTATTCTAGCATTTTGGATGACCATTGGATTATGTGTGTCTATAAAATAGACTACAACACGAAGTGCATAAATGTTGGGCAAATGTCCCTAGTCAAAATCCTAATTTCAAAGGCGAACTCTTCCAATATGGATTTGGACATAAGGGGGCTTCTAACATATTGTAGTGTTGTAGGGTATAACATAGTCGGCCCCTCACGACTATAGCCTTTTCTTACTTGTTTTTAAATAAAATCTGTTTTCATTTTTAAAATATTTTCGTATGACGGATGGCAGATTTTACAAGAATAATAAATAATCTTTTATTTTATTGGCATGTAAAAACACTTATACGTTCCGTTTTTTTTACGTTCTTAGGAAAAACAAATTTATTTATCTGTTCTTGGACTCAAACATATAAAGATTTCAAACCCTTCACATTAATGAATCATTTTCGGTGATGTAGGTTTTTGTGTAGGCCTCGAAAGAGGTTTTACTTTAGATCCGCTTTTATGTATCAAATCTCCGACTGAAAAATGTTGCCAACATCTTTACAATACGCTGGCAACTTCTTGTAACGAATTTAATGTCATCTCGACTAAAAATGATCACCTTTGACACGAATTATAGCCTTTAAACGGCCAATGAAACCGTCACACGCTGACCGAATTCCCGGTGAAGCGCTTGCTTGAGGTGATCGACACTTTGGTATTTTTTAGTGCCAATCTTGCTTTCCAAAATACACCAGACACAATGGTCCAACGGATTGGTATCCGGCGATTTTGGTGGTCATTGTGCGCTGGAAATGAAGCGAGGAACCTCGCGTGCTGAATGCGATGGTGCTGAGTCCTGTTGGAATGTCCAAGGTCTGCGACCAAAATGTTTGGGTGCTCAAGGCTTTAATACACCCTCCAGAATATTTTCGCGATAATGTTCGGCATTTATTCTGATGCCACGGTCGATTAATACGAGCGGAGAGGTGCACATTTTCAGCTCATCGCTTTGGCAAGTAAATACGATCATTTTATTATACCCTCCACCATACATAGTATGGGGGATATATTAAGTTCATAATTCCGTTTGTAACTCATTGAAATAATCATTTTAGACCCAACAAAGTATATATATTCTTGATCAGCGTAAAATTCTAAAACGATGTAGCCCTGTCCGTCCGTCTGTCCGTCTGTTGTAATCACGCTACAGTCTAAACGAATTAAGATAGGAAGCTAAAATTTTGCACAGATCTCTCATTTGTCTTCAGGCAAGTTCAAGTTCGAACGGTACCCCCCGATATTCGGTATTTTGATGATTTTACCCACATTTTTCAACAGAATTGTCTGAAATCCCCACAAGTAGTTCCATGTGGGTACTTTATACCTCGAAAGGGAATTATCTATATAGGTCCACGATATCGTATATCCCTCATACAACGGTACCCTCCGATATTTGGTATTTTGATGATTTCAGCCACATTTTTTAATGGAATTGTCTGAAATTCCACACAAGAGGTTCTTTGTGAGCACTTTACCCCCGGACAGAAAGTTTTCTATATAGGTTAACGATATCGTATATCCCCCCATATATCGTCACCTTCCAATAGCCCTTATATAACGGTACCCCCGATATTCGGTATTTTGATGATTTTAGCCATATTTCCAAATGGAATTATCTGAAAAGGAGTTCCTTGTGAATACTTTACCCCCAGACAAAGATTTGTCTATATAGGTCAACAATATCACCTTCCAATAGCCCTTATATAACGGTACCCCCGATATTCGGTACTTTGATGATTTTAGCCATATTTCCCAATGGAATTATCTGAAAAGGAGTTCCTTGTGAATACTTTACCCCCAGACAAAGATTTGTCTATATAGGTCAACAATATCGTATATCCCCTACATATATCGTCACCTTCCAATACTAAGTGTTTTAAATATTTTAACAGAATTTTCAATGGATTTAATTTTTTTGAAAATTTTCTAATTCGTTCCAAATGGTGGAGGGTATTCAAAGTTCGGCCCGGCCGAACTTACTGCTTTTTAACTTGTTTATTAACAAACTGCTGGACAACGAATGTTTTCTCATCGGAGAAAACCAAATTCGGGAGTTAACCACATTGGGCCAAGCGAAGCAACTCTTTAGCTCTTTTGAGTCTATTTTTGGTTGCGGCGTAAGTTCTTGCACTCTTTGGAATTTGGCTTTACCCCGACATTAATTTTGTAATATGTAAAAATTCCCAGCCAAATATAAAGAAATCACACTATCACGCTTGAATTCCATCACGAATAACTTTTTTTCTAAAAAAATTCCACCAAAATGCTTTTGAACGCATGTAAACAATATAATGAGCTGTTACTGGAATAATGTTAACAGCTGTCGGACGAGTGGCTTAGAAATAACAGCTGTCTGAAGTTGGTTGCAGTTGTTTCATCTCACCCTGTATAGTATTGTAAAATTTATGAATATGACACCCACATAGTTGGTGTATCCAACGCGTTATAAATTTTAAATCTGAGTAGTCGTAAAGACATAAAACTTATTAAATTCAATAAGTTATTTCACCCACAATATTATCCACAGAAAATATCGAAATATTCTGATAATCTATGGAAGCAATTTTCGCTAAAATTAATTCTCTCACATAAAAATATGTTATTCATACGTACATATGATACATATACATACCCACGGACACGGATTAAAAATTAAGAATTTATTAAAACTGGGCTATGAAAATTACCACAAGATGAACATCAAACACCGTATAGAGACAGCGGCAAGGATTTCAGCACACAACAGGACTACCGCCCCTAATCCTAGGGCGCTGCATATTTAAATAATTTACTCAACCTTATTCAAATACCATAGCATTTGTGAATAGTTTTTTCAAGTAGATCTTCACAATGATCCTGGGATTCGCAACAATGAAAGATAAAGTGAACAATATTTTCCAGCGGTCATCGTTTACGGAAGTGATTTGTGTGGTAAATAACAATAACCAAAAACAGCAAGATATGTGGCTTACTGGGATGGGATAGATGCTTAAGCGAAGACTTGTGATATGTTGTGGATAGACGTGTGTAATTTGATAGTTTCTGTTTTGCAAACACACACGAACATGTATACACAAAGACTCAAGACGTATGCGTAACAACATTGAAATACTTTTTCA